GCGGACACAACATCTTTGTTGGTATGTGGTGCTGAGGTTCAAACCCGGGTCGCACGCATGCCAGGCGAGCGCGCTACCGCTTGAGCCACATCCCCAGCCCAATAATAATGATTGATGAGCTAAGAGCTTTAATGGAAAAAGTGAACAACATGGAAGAACAGATGGGTAATATAAGCAGAAAGATGGAAAGGTAAAGAAAGAATCAAAAGAAAATGCAAGAAATGAAAAAAATGCAAAGTAAAACAAATAAAAAATACATTTGGTGGACTCATCAGTAGACAAAACATGGCTAAGAAAACAATCAATGAGCTGAAAGACTTGTGGGGTCAAAAGTGATAGGACTTTAAGGAAAAATATATATATCCAATATTATAGTTGAATTTATTCTCTCTACCAGTGATTGACAGAGCCAGCAGACAGAAAATCAATAAGGAGAAGATTGAACTGAATAGAACCATCAATCAATGAACTTAATTGACATTGATGTAACACTTCATCAAATAACAACAGAATGTAGATTCTTCTCAAGCTCACATGGAACATTCCCTAAGATCACAATCTGGGGAATAAACACAGCTTAAATTTATAAAACTAGATAACATACAAAGTGTGCTCTTAAACACAATAGAATTAAGCTAGAAATCAATAAGATATAGAGCTAGAAAATCTTCAAATACTTGGAGATTAAATATAGTTCTAAATAGCATATGGGTCAAAGGAGAAGTTGCAAAAGAACTTTAAAACATTTTAAGTATAACAAAAACATAACCTGTCAAAAATTTGGGGGTTCTAGAGAAATCAGTACTTAGAGGGAAATTTACAGCATTGAATTCATACATTACCAAAAAAATGTATGATCTAAGAAAACTAGGGGAAAAAAAGAACAATTATATTTAAAGTAAGAAATAGAAAATCAATAATAAAAATCAGCAGAAATCAGTGAAAATGAAAAGAGGAAAGAATAGAAGATCAGCAAAACCAAAACTTGATCCCAAGTCTTGGAATCAGCTAGGGAGCAAGTGCCAGACTAACTGAAAAATAATAAATAAAGCAAACACGCAAATACTACTAATATCAGAAAGGAAAGAGGGGCTATTGTTATTGATTATCGTTATTGATCCTACAGACATTAAAAGGACAATAAGGAAATTTCAACAACTCTACCCCATCAATTTGATAACTTATATCAAATGGACCAATTCCTTGAAGATACAGTCTCCCCCAAATCACACAAAGTGATAATCTGAATAAAATCATCAAGTAAAAATTGAATCAATAATTAAAAACCTCCCGAAACAGAAACCAACAGAGTCAGGTAGGTTCATTGGTGCATTCTACCAAGCATTTAAGAAACAGAAGATATAAATTCTCCATAATCTGTTACAAAATAGAAGCAGAGAGAATACTTCCTGAATCACTGTTTGAGCCAGCATTACCCTAATGCCAAATCAGACAAAGACATTTAGGAAAATCACAGACCTTACATAGTTTCTGTTGGTCGGGAATTCAGGAGCAGCCTATCTGGGTGATTCTGGCTTGGAATCAATCTCTCATGAATTTGTAGT